GTAGTGGATCTGAAGTATCAGTAATAATAATGTGTCTTTTTCGAGATATATCCTGAACTTGCTGTGTACATGCCATGACACCTAAGTCAAGCGCGAGTACGATGCATTCCTCACACCCAGTCCCTGCAGGATAGCAACAACACCCAGCGTAATAGCCGTAGGTCTATCGTTACTCTTCCAGTAAGCTGCACCTGCGGCCGCCAGTAGGGTCGTCAAAACACCCGCGATGCTCTTGTCGTACACATCGTAGATACCCGTGACCGACCACTTGTAGTTGAGGATGCCTATTAGAACGTTAATCACGACACATCCAACAACGGCCTTTGCCTGCAGACTTACTCATAATAACAAAGAACCCGCTACCCTCGTACCAACCGATCTTACTCGCACCACGGAGCATGAGCGGTAGCGTGTTTATCGTCGGATGTTTGAACTGGTCCAGACCTTTCAGCTGCAACATCTCATTAGAACACTGTCATGACCAAAGAAGCTATGTGATATATTACCGTATGCCCAATCGCCAAAATAGCGTACGCAGCTGAGGAAGCCTGCAGCAAGGGGTGCGACTGCGAGGTTATCGACGTCATGGTGGTGAGTGATGCTTTGAGAATTGTCTTAAATTTAGTGGTAGGTTTGAAAGAGGTTACGAATTGGAAAATGGAGGAGAAGAGGAGAGTTCTATGGCGTTTGCAGCGACGCGCATGTCACGATCGCGTCGTTGTGATGCTTTTGGCTGGGACCGAGGTTAGTATGGATTGGGAACGGTTTCCCCACTTTTTGCGGGTCCGCCGGGAGGTTGGTCAACCTAGCACCAGGGCCGCTATAGGATGCGACATACATGAGAGATGTGCGTTATGGTTGCAATTTGCTCAAGCTTTGTGATTATCTAGTTGATCAATGCGAAGTGGCTTAGAGGGAATCGCATGACTAGGCACAGACGTGTTGGCTTGTATTGCATCTCATTCGCTGCAGGTAGGTGTGCACTGCCCCGCAACTTCTACAATCATATCTTCGTCCAGCTGCGCCTCGCCAGCTAACTACTCAGCACCCCATTATTCCATTCCGCCAGCCCAAAGCCACCTTTTCACCCCATCGTCCACCAAACTCGTTCGTCTTAGCCGAATCAAAACTTCGGAATGCCTCGCATCATCGTTCTAGCCCAGTGAAGTATGAGCGCACTGATCTCCGAAGTCATACGTAGGTGCTATCGGAGTCTTATCCTAGAGATCAGATACACCCGTCTCCAACGCATCCGGATCTAACGACCCCGGATCTAGCGACTCCGGATCCTATGCCTTGGGAAGTAATGCGAGGTGAAAAATGGGTCCGCGCGCCTGGTGGCGACCAAGCTCAACCATCCTGCTTCGGGGTCGGTCAACTTCGGATACCAGAGCGTCCAGAGAATGAGAGACTTTGTTCCGCTTGTATGAGCCTCGGTCAACTAAAAAGTACGCACTGGGACGACATCAACAACTTCCGCAAGGTCATTGTGAAACATCACGATTCGTTCGATGTGTTGCTCAACAGCGCACGTGAAGGTTGTCATCTTTGCGGATTGCTAATAATAGCATGGGAGGAGAAATGTCACTTGGAACAAGAGCCTGGGGGTGGATGGGTTGCTAAGTCGGGTACTGATTCGGTTTCAGTGAACGCCGGCATCAAACTCGAATTCCACAGAGTGAAAACGACACTCCCGTGGACTAATGTCAGTGTTGATGAGGTCCGGATTGATATAATATTTCGGGAGTCACTGCCTGGTATGTGCGGAAGCCTGATCTGTAAAGTTATGGATAGTGAGTGCTCCTCCTTCCAAGGATACTTCCATTACTTCAAGATTAACCAGTGATATAGCCGATCATCTGACCGTGCCGAAGACATGTCTCCCATCAGATGACGACACCAATACGGGCTCATCAGCAAGTTTATCCAGGATCAAGGCCTGGCTGGATATCTGCTCAAGTTCACATCCAGCCTGTTCCCAGGCGAATGCTCAGCCTCCACCCTTACCAACGAGAGTGATTGCAGTAGGAGGTAAAGGATCTAGTAAATGCCACCTAGTGTCTGGAAATGAGAAGAATGATTACTACGCCACTTTAAGCCACAGCTGGGGAAATCCTCACAATCGGCCGTTATCGACGACCGATCGGACTCTTTCTTGTCGACAGCGAGGCATTGAAGACGATTTATTGCCAAAAACCTTTCGGCAAGCTGTTCAAGTCTGTAGGGACTTGGGCATAGAATATATCTGGATAGACTCTCTGTGTATCATCCAAGAGCAAGAAACACAGGAAGATTGGGCAAAAGAAGCACCGAGAATGGGACTTGTGTACGGTAATTCGACTTTGAACATTACGGCGGCAGCAGCAGTAGATTCCACACAAGGATTGTTCAGAGAGCGCCTTGGTCTGATCTCTTGGCCTTGTCCGATCATCCTGTTCAAACAGGCATGCTACCTATTCCGGTATCCGACGCGGCACGAAGAAATGCATGGTGATCCAGGAGACCTTCGAGATGACGTTTCAAATGTCTTAGGCCGAAGAGCCTGGGTTCTTCAAGAGCAGGTTTTGTCTAGGCGCTCCATCGTATTCTCGAAACATGGTCTCATCTGGCATTGCCCAACGCTATCGACCAACGAAAAATACCCATTTGGAATACCGCACGCTCCAAACATATCGGCTGACACTCATCGTTTTCTCCACTGTATATTGAATGATATAACATCGTTCATGCCGAAAGAGTCAGTGGTCGACATCTATACCTTCTGGTACAGAATAGTAGCAGAATTCACATCTCGAGATCTCACATTCGAGAAAGACAGGCTACCTGCAATAGCTGGTATTGCGAAAAGGTTTGGGGTGGCAGTGAGTGACAGCTACCACGCAGGGCTATGGAGACATGGGATGATTTCCGGCCTCCTATGGTATGCAGCAAGGGATACTACCATATATACAGCCAAATCAGATCGGGCACCCTCGTGATCATGGGCCTCAGTAAATGGTGGTGTGAGCTACTCACATCTCTTCTCGATTGGCACCAACTCGAACAGTGTCTTCTTGTCTCCGTTGATGGATATTCTAGATGTTTTGGATCCACCAACCTGCGAAGACCATCCGTTTGGTGTGACGTCAAGAGCATCATTGAGCCTGTCTGGGACTTTGTTGACAGTGATTCAAGACGAGCACAAAGCATCCGGGCTGGTTCCGGACATGAGCGGCACAATTTCTGCGCATGACATGCGAAATATCTTCTCGGACGTTGGAGAATCTGGCAGGCCAGATCAAGCACCCCTGGTCTGTCTACCAGTATGCGTACATCATGGTGCTTACGATCGGGCTACAAATGACGATGGCGAAACGGAAAAAGCGGCATGGAAAAGATTATTGGAGACAGGAATAGACGAATCCATATCTTTCAACTCGTTATTCTGCTTGGTCCTACAGGCTACCGAAGGAAGACAAGACACGTACAGTCGAGTCGGCCTATGTGCTTTGGACAATCACAAGACAGTTGAGGTTAGCAGGATGGCGTTGTTTGGAAAACGCAGATCCATTACTATCATTTAAGTATCCTGTACTTCGCACATATACCTACGTAGGGGTGCGCCAAGAATACTCTTCCTCTTCCTTTCCTTATAAGCATCAAGAGAACGGTGAAAATCCTGACGCGTGACAGAGAACTGGCGAAGCTGTCGAAGGAGACGAGATCTGTCGTCCATGACTACCTTACTCCAAAGGAGGGGTTGACCATAACTGATATGAATCAAGCTGCTTCACCGGTTGCGTGGCAGCTTCAACTAATACAAATTTTAGACGGTAACACTCAAAGACAGAGCTGTTTTGATCTTACCCAGGAAGGTATGCTCGCAAGGACTCAGTAGTCGACTCCATCAGCGCAATGCCAGCACCACCCACAATCTTTATCGCAAAGTATCCAGTCCTGGTCATCGTCGTCCCACACGGGTTCAATAGAAGTGGAGGTCATTCCCGATGAGCGGGATTGCGCTTGGTAAGATGAAGCCTCGAATACACGTCAGAGTCCGAATAATGCCTGCTATCACGCCAAAACATTGCGAACTTACATTCCTTGAGCCCGAAGATGCACCCGCTCCAGTCACGGAGTTCGTGCGAGCCAGCATCTGCTGATGCGGCGGCGACTTCTCGTGCTGTTTCATAGCCTGCTTGCTTCCGAAAGGCTTCTTACGCACGTCGCAGCTGAACATGGCGCTATGAGACGGTCCATCGAGGTGTTGCTCCATCGATTTCTGGCTGCAGAACTCTCGCTGGCATTTGTGACATGTGTGAGCGCGGCGGAGAGCTGCGTCGTTGGTACCCGTGTGGTTCCTCAGCGTGATTTTGGTTGTGAAATTCTTTGAGCAGATAGGACATTGGTGTGCCATGATGAAGAGGGGTGAGTTAAGGGAACTGAGATAAACTCGCAGAGACGTCAACAATCAAGTCAAGCCAGGACTTGAAGATGGGTAGCAAACGAATGAAGGCCACGGCTATGCCTATCTAGGCAGCTGCTAGGCTCAAAAGGGCTAATCATCAAGCCGAATCTCACTCTCCAGCTTGATTATTACCCATTGTGCATACTTGAAGGTAGAGCTTTCGTATCCTAACTTGTGTAACCACGAGCCTCTCTAGATATGACTAGGATTTGACAGGTATGGGATAAATGAAGCGTCACTACCTCGTCAGAAAGAAAACAGCATAGTCTAGCACATAGAGGAGTAGGTGCGGTTTGTGTCTTTGGCATCACCTCGATGACTGCTTCTAAAAATCGCGATCACTCTCATCCAATTTGATGTTTGCTTCATGGCCGCATGTTATTCATCATCTTAATTTGCTGTTGAGAGTACATCTCACTCCCTCTCATCATTCGAAGTTATGCTTGGGTATCATATGCCACTCCTTCATGCAGGATCCACCTTCTCATTCGCCGCCATTCAGGCCATATGCAAAGCCTTGCAACCTGTGCTATCCCCCATCACCCAACTTCTCTCACTTCCTTGCATCCTTGTCATCGCTCAACTTAGCACTCTTCTCAGTACCATCTCCTTCCTTCATTCCGTCATCAACACCTCCATCATACTGTCTTGCAGCCGGCAAAGCAGGCAGAATGCCGCTAGCAATAGCATCGAGATCGGATGGCATGCAAGTGGCTGGCGAAGCATACGGACCCGTAGTATCTTGCTCGGCACTCAGTTTATCAACCTTTTGTTCAGCCCATGCGATGGCGCAATCGACGGCGGTTCTGACGGTTTCAACGACGTCTGAGACGATGGTTGTGGCGGTCGGGCTGGCTTCGGTGGTGCCGTCTGTGCTGATCGCGCTGCTATCCGACGCTGATCTTGGGGATGTAGACGAGGACTTCGTGGTATCTTGGTCTTGGTGGGAAGAGGTCTTACAGGCGTCAGTATGTGTTGGGTTTAGGGTGAACGTGAGAGAAGCATACTCGGTGCCTAGCTGGCGACTTCTCCTCCGTGACTTGAGCTGTGACAGCTTCGAGTGCTTTCGGCCTCATGGTTTGTGTGGTGAGAGCGTCGAGCGCTTCCGGTTTCATGCTTTGGGTGGTACAGAGAAGCTACCCTCGCAGATTGGCTTTTGTGTCACTTAGTTGATCGCGCGGTCCTCCGAGGTGTGCCAATGTAGCTTGCTTGTGCATGCGGTCGAATGCCAGCAGGCGGCCATCTCCGCAGGTCCTTCTCGAAGTGTCTTTTTTGTTTGTTTGCTTGCCATGTTTGGACTGTACTGCTCTTTCCTATTCGACATGGCGATGCGTTTGTACCCGCGCAACAGGAAGCGACACCCCCACGAAAACGCTCGGATGAAGACGACCGAAATCCTGCTCGCTAATAACGACGCCATCGAAGTCCTTTTGATTAGCTGTGAGTATTGCTTCCCGATCGTCTGGTGAGCCAGATAACATTCTCACTCAAACGACTGCATCCTTTCCCCAAGGCTGCCGAGGCGAGGATTCGCAAAAGCTGAATGGCGGTCGTTTGTGGTGATTGTTTGATTATCGACGAGCTCATGAGGCAGATGATCTCAATACTCAATACTGCCCGCTCTATCGACTTCATCGTCATATTCCAGGTTCAATCTGAAAGTAGTAGCCAGGGCTTCTGTTTAGGTCTAGCTCACGTGTCCGAGTGTCTGCCCCAGAAAACCAAAATAGTCGGCTTCGTTCCCAGAATGCAGCACTTGATGCATCGGTAGCCTTGCAATACCGTGCCCAGATAGAGTACTCTGAGCGTACATGACGTTGCTGAGTTGGCTTGACATCTGCCGTTGCATCAAGGAGCCGATAAGCCTAACCCTGACGCAACACCGATCATGACCACTCCTGCGTCACGCATCGCATTTTCTGCCTTGTCAGAGACAGCGAACGCATTTTCCTGCCGACCGAACCACTCGCGACCGCCTGAACAGACTCCACGATACCGAACGGTGGTCAGATTCAGGTACCCACCGGCTATTCACCCTGCGCTCAGAAGGCAGAAGGCATAGCCTGAGACATAGACACCAGGCTACGCCATTGAGCAGAAAGCATCCTGGTCATGTCGACTTACCGAGCGTCTACCCCATCATGTGGCGCACGACTGGGGTTGAACCGCTTGAAGCGCAGATCAATGTGTCCAAGACATGTCTTCTTCCTCGTCTTCTAGAAGCTTTGCCTCACTGATTGCGCCATCGCAGGTCATTCGGCCCCTAGGCTAAGCTATACGAAGACAGACGACTCCGTGTCCTGGAACTGCACTATGGCTGTCGTTATGCCGCTTCGACTCAGCGTTGAGTCAGTCGATAAGAGCGTTCTGTACACGGTGTTGGATCACCGGCACCCGCATAGTCGAAGTCAATGAATCCTAGGACGCAGTGCCGGAGTCAGCAGCGAACATTACTGGCTGAGACCCCAGCCGTCGTGTTGAAGAGTCCACTTGTTCTACGGCTCCTACAGGTACCTAGGTAGACGCCAGGATGTACCTGGTAATTGCACTCGGGCAGCGTTTTAATATGAATTGCTGCATGGAAGCATGCTTGCGCCTATCAGACGGGGTGCAAGTCTTCGAGTGGAGTTCGAGTGGCTTGGTAGCAATATGGAAATGCAGCGGACTTGTGAAGGCGTAGCGCGAATGATCAGGAGATGCTGTTGATGCAGGTCCACTGCCGCCGTTCGCTGATCACAGTCATGCTGAACCCACCATGCCAAGGCAATAGCATGCGCAGTACGATCTTAGGTCGGCCGTTTTTCTGGTGTATTAGCCTATTGTACGCGGTTAGCACGCTGGAGAGTTGGAGGGCAGGCATCTCGCTTCGCGGGCCTCTCCAGACACACCGCATGCCTCGCATGCTCCGTGCTTCCTGCAGACCCTTCTGTAAGCAGGCTGCCACCACTCGTTTGAGGCTGCCACCACCACTACGCTGATCGTGTGTCTACAAACGTCCGGCATGTTGCAGGCAATTTATCGTCGACCGGGCGAAGCTGCGGCCGTGGGTGGGTAGCATCATCACCGTGCCGGCCACGGCTCGACGCGAGACCCTTGGAAGGATCACTGGCGCCATTTTTTGATTGTCAGAGCGCAAATGTGGAGTGCTTGATGCCCTTGTCACCCCCGCATTCGCCTCGCTCATCTCGCAGACTCCGTTTCGTGACATGTGTAGGTGTAGGAGCTAAGGATGAGGCGAGATTCGGTGTGGTTATAATCGTCGTGCGTCCTGCCGTCTCATCTTCACGCCGAATTGCTGTGTCCTGCTTTCATCAGCAACGCCTGTCTCACACCCTGTGCCGCCTTGGAATCCAGTGCTCTGTCTCGATATCGTGGCTGCACGCCGCAGAAGTTGTGCAGCGTGCCCCGGCCGCTGTCTAACCGTCCACCAATCATGGCTGGAATTACTCCTTCTCCAGATGTTAGTCCCGTGTCAGCAGCGACCACTAATGGAGGCTTCCCACGCGACGCCTTCTGCCTCAATCTCTCCGCTCTGCCCGACGCAAATACCTTTATCCTCAAATCCGCCCTGACGTCTCCTCATCTGCTCGACCCCCCGAATGGACTGTTCACTGGAAACGGTGGTTTGAGTAATCCCTTCAAGAAGCGGCCCCGCAACATGTCTCAATCATCTGGTACAGACCGGGAAATGTCCAATGACAACACCCCACCCGCGTCGAATGGAATCGCACCTACTAGCAATGGTACCAACGGCACGAGCACCGAACCCCGACCGAGCACAAAGAAGCGCCCAAGTACCGACACGATAGACTACCCGCGCCGGCGTGCGACGATCGCTGTACATCACTCTTATTTCGACTTATCCAGCTCCAAAAACTGACCTCAAATAGTGCGAGATATGTCGGTCGCGGAAAAGTCGATGCGACGGAAACAGGCCAAAGTGCAGATTGTGTACAGAGCTGAATGCCGAGTGCATATACCGAGAGCCAGGCATTAAGCTGGACGCAGGCGACAAGCTGATCCTAGAACATCTGAACCGCATCGAGGGTCTTTTACAATCTGGCCTCACTAGCAACTTCTCATTATCATCGCATTCGCCAGCCGCGAGCAATTCCACCAGCGAAGATTTCCTCGCCCGTAGCACCGGCAATATACCCCATCTCGGCATGGTACAGCCGATCAACGGCATAGGAACATGGACCAACCACCCGTCAAACATCTCGACCATGCCGAAAACCCACAATACTGCGGCACTCAATCTGCTGTCATCTCCAATGATCAGAGAGCTTGTGTCTCGCCAATATGACGCCAAGCTTCTTCTCCAGCTTGAAATGACTCGAGAGTCAGTAAGCCTGGGGACAAGCCGTGGGTTGGATCTCTCGAATACTGGCGCATACGTGCAGGCGTATTTTGAGAGAGTGAATGTCTTCTACGCGGTTGTAAATCCGTATACATGGAGTAGCCACTACCAGACCGCCCTCAGCCATGGTTTCCGAGATGGGCCGGAGAGTTGCATAGTTCTTCTCGTTCTTGCGCTAGGTCATGCTGCAAGCACCGGCAGTATTACGCAGCAAAACCCTGAAAAAGATCCCCCAGGATTGGCATACTTTACCGCAGCATGGAGCTTACTGCCGACCGTCATGACAAGAAACAACATGGTAGCTGCACAATGTCAAATCCTCGCCGCAGCATACTTGGTGTATCTTGTACGCCCAGTCGAAGCTTGGAACGTATTATCAGGCGCCAGCATGAAACTGCAGCTTCTTCTGAGCGCGCCTGGTCGCGTATCTCCAGCGGAAGAGGAGCTGGGCAGAAGAGTGTACTGGAATGCTGTGATGATCGAAAGCGACCTACTAGCAGAGCTCGATCTTCCCCATTCCGGCCTCGCTCAATTTGAGGAAGGCTTTGCACTTCCGACCGGATTTGAGGATCTAGGGAGAGAAGCAGTTGGCCGAGATGAGCTGTGGTATTTCCTTGCAGAGATCGCTCTCCGGCGACTACTCAACCGCGTGAGCTCCATGCTCTACATCAGAACGACACCATATTCCAAAGGTCCAGCTGCGACATCAATCGCGCAACTAGATCCTTTGGTTGTGGAACTCGACTACCAGCTGAACCAATGGTATGCTGGTCTACCACCCGCCATGCAGTTCCCGCTCGATAGAGTACCCTTACAAAACCCGGTTCAGACCGTTTTGAGACTGCGCTACTTTGCATGCCGTACTATTATCTTCCGGCCCTACGTGCTTTTGGTTTTGCAAGATGAGACCTTGGCCATGGATTCGAGCGTTCAAGATAATTGCCACAAGTGCCTGGAGGCATGCGTTCGTCAACTGGAGTACATCACTGCGCACCATGCTGGACATCTGCCTTATCTCTTCCAGGGCGCTCTCTCGTAAGTTTGATCAAGAACCAGCATTGCGTTCGCTGACAATTCTGTAGCATCATTTCCCAGACATTACTCATCATGGGTGCGACTATGACTCCTTCGCTATCTCAGCTGCTTCCCCCACCAGCGACTATGGACGATATCATCAACAACGTTGTTCTGGAAATGGAGCGATACGCTCACCTCGCACCTAGCCTACAGCTTTCCGCTGAGATCATTCGCGAAGCCGAAGGCAAGCGACAGATGTGGCTACGGACAGCAGGACTCAAATTTGACGTATGACTCTGATCTCGCAGTACCAGGTTGCCACCCAGTACATGACTACGACTATGGGCTCTTCAAAGCAGGAACGCTACAACGCGGATCCACCTGTTTGCCATACCTGCGTAGGTGAAGTGACCTTCCACTTCTGGTAGCCTCCGCGTACCATATGATGGATCAGCAAGTCGAGCGATGATCGCACGCGACAGCGATTATCATCTACACGACACACGCGGCGCTTCTCGACGAACCCATTTCTGGGTCCAGCACAGACCTTCATCCCCAACATCTTGTATCGGACGTTGAGACAAATAAGTACTAGGTCTCCATCAACCAGGTCCTCACATTTGCCGCACCCCGAGTGTACATGCCGAGAGTGATTGGCGAGTCGCTGCTCAATATGGGGCAATTTGGCATGACACAGTG